ATCGATAGAAGAAGATCTGAAAGAAAAGCAGCCAAGCGAAAGAAACAAATTAATTAAATGAAAATTCACCTCATTCTTAGCGGCTTGATTTTTCCTTCTGACAAAGTTGACTAGCTTTTGCGACGTTTTGTTGCCATGCACGTCTCCCACTTACGAATTAAGTTACAAAGTAAGTTAGTTCTGTCACACACAGAAGAAGTGTCTATTGAAATGTTAAGTATCGACGAGGTTCGAAATCCGAGCGCACATTGACGGAATTGTTTGTTCCATACCCTCCAAGACCCTCATAGCAAAGTTATTTGCAACATAATTTCGGCCCAAATTTCGCGCAGCATGACTGCTTCAGAATGCAGACCAAGCTAAATTGGAAAAGGTAAAGACGGCAAGATCATCTGACAGGCTACTGTATTTGAATACATTATATTCAAAACGGTACTTGGAATGACTGTAACCCACCTTAGTCGGCCACATCAGCACCTCGAGTAGTATGCGCTTTTCCGCTTCCATTCCACCTACATCATCAAGCGATAATTTGGTTTCACTTTTAGCTTTCGCTCCGAACTGAATGACCGAACGAGAGCAGGTAAGAGCTCGATCGAAGTCACATTCCATAACAGGAGACGAATGCGCTTAACAAGTAATTCTATTAGAAATAGGAGAAACCATCCTCTTATGAGAAGACAACACATTTTTTCTCCAGTATTACATTTATTTATTTTTTCTTCAGTTTCCTAAGTCTCTATGCCGACTTGCAGCAAAAATAATTCCTGCAAGAGAGCTCATTCCGGAGTGCGCTCAATGGACCGCATTGGACCTCTTTCAGCCTGACCAAAAAACCCTGGCTCTACCTGACACCTTGATGCACGCCCCGCCCACCGCTGACGTTTCTTTTCTTTCGCTTCTCTGATTGCTACCGATCTCTCTCAGTTTCCTATTTTTAGGACTAATATGCGAATTATCGTCCCGTTTTTTCTCAGTTCAGAACTGTTTCGAAAATTGTAAATTCAGGATTTCGCATCCGCCCATCGTACAGTGCGCCCACCGCAAGCACTCCATATTCTTTCTCTCGCTGATGCCAAATCATTCTCAACTTTTTTCGAGCGGATCCAGCATGGAGTTGTGGACATCTATCACTGTAAGGAGACTCTTTATTGAGATTTTCAAAAGCCAGCGATTTTCCGTAACTTTACTAAGGTTTGCTAACCAAGATTACGAGTGTCAGTCACCCGGCTTAGCATGCGTAAACAATGGGGATAGTTTTAACTAAAGGAAACTTACCACGGATCTTGGCCTCCACCTCCATCCTTGTAGCCAAGTGTTGCATATTTGACACTTGAAGGCCTTCCATGGCCTCAGCTGCGATAGAGGGATCATAATCGGATTTCAGTAGTTCGCGTAGCACTTGACTGCTTTCTTCCTGAACTTATTACTAATGCGCTTTATGGGTGTTCTACATCAATGTTCACAGAATATATTTTATTAAAGGCAAAGTTCGGGCTCAGACCCACTTAATGAGCCTTTACGGTGGCTAGAAGCGCTAGGTACGCAAGTGTAGAGGTCGCGTCACTTCCCTACTTCGAAAAGCGTTATTTAGACGCTAGGCGCTAAGAACTTTGACACGCTCCACCTGTTGCGACACGCTCCGCCCACCGCTCGATATCTTGTCTGCGTCGCAATGTTGATCTGCTATGCTCTCTCTACTCGACTTCTCTAGCGCTCTCCGCGCTCACATTATCTCTCATCTCCCTGCCAGCCTTTTCAGAGGGTAAATCGAGCGCTGGAGAATGAAGATAGTTATTAAGTTGTATTTCTTTGACGCGCCGCTGGTGAGCTTTACTCCCCCATGATGACCTACACGCCACAGTTCCCCTTGTCATCAGGATTTCAAAAGACCGCTCGCTACTCTAGATGTTGATGTACTGGGGCTAGTGATATAGTACTTCGCTAAATGACAACTGACGGTCGGCACCAATCTTCGCATACATGTTTACTTATCCCACCCAATTGAAAAACGGAGTATACGAGTTGGTAAAAATAACTCTTACCCAAATCCCTGAACAATGTTCCATCGCACGCTTAACACGATGAAACAGTGTGTTTTTTCGCGCTCTGTCGTTATACACCATGCTTTTTTTCAGCACGCAAAGGTTGGGATTCGTCTGGAAAGTGCAAGTGCTAGTTACCATGGGCATCAGGATTGTCGAAAGACACTTAGCTAAAGCAGCTGTGGGCTCTTCTAAATTTCACTCGATTTTCATTAAGGTCTCGCTTTCTGGAAAACTTCACGAGTTTTAACTTTAGTGAACGAGAGTCAGTGGTAGACTGCACATCTCGCTCGCCGCTTCCTCGACGCTCTTCTACTATTGATGTTACGGCCGAATTGCTATGAGATCAAGATTGGCTGGCCGTTTTCCGCTTTGTCTTATCGTCAATGTGAAGACACTGCGGTTATGAGGTAGTCAGAGCAACTAAGATTTTATGGGTGTTGCTTTTGTCTTTTCTTTGAGAACACTATGATGGAAGGTTTCTTTATCTTACGGTACTATGCAATGTTTAGGTGTAAAAGCATTTGGTATGCTAACAGAGTTCAGGGCAAAATCATGAACACTATGCAACTTGAGCCGCAAAATCAATTACTTGAGCATGTAGCATGTTGCGCATTCACAAGTTCTTCTTCTTATTAGGGGTTTGTCGACTGCTTGGTTAGGGGGTCGCTTTTCTGATATGGCTGGACAGCCTTTCTGATTAATGCTGATCGGGAGGTGTAGTCAACGATGTCTTTGTGCAGCGTAGCGCGCCTAAGCGCTGTTTCTCGCAGTTCGCTCAGGACCCGCCCCGAACACTAAGGCCGATGTCAGACTTTGCGAATCGCGCGATTCGCTAGCGTCTGCGGTCGCGTCGCGGCCAGTGAATCACTCAATTGGCTGGTACCGCAACGCGACCGCGGACGCTAGCGAATCGCTCGATTCGCAAAGTCTGACATCGGCCTATTGAACATCACTTTCATCCAGAAAAATTAAACCCCTTTCGATATTGATGCCTATGAAGTGATATCCACTCACAGTGAAGAATTCGCTCAGTGCCCAAATTTCTTTGGTCCTCTCCGTTGGACTGGCTCAAGAATTCAAAATCGTCGAGTATCAGTAAACTTGGCGTTCGCTTTGACAGCGATTTTATTTCAGCAACAAGACTTTTCTCAATGGTTTCTGCTGACTTTCCTGAAAAAAATTAATGACATAGTAATGTGCACAGAAATAATATTCGAAGCAAGCATACCTTTCCAGGAGCTGCAGTCAACGCGTGTAACAAGGCAGCAGTGGGCTTTGGCGAGATCCTGAGCGAGTAATGCTGCGACAGAAGTCTTTCCACTTCCGGCCGAGCCAAGCAGGAGTACATGACCGAATCCCACATGGTACCATGAATATTTTGCCCAGCAATTGAGTTCTTTCACCATTTGTGATTGACCCCTAAGCTGTGAAATTACTCTCATATGCCTTTATTCAAAAAGAGAAAAATACCACTCACGGACCCAAACTGAGTTAGAACATCCTTTGCAATGAAACCATAGTTCTCAGGTTCAGATGGCGACATGGTAGAAGGTAGGGATGATGGTTCAGTCTGCAACCTTTTTTGAATAGAACGGTGACTTCTGCAGCCAAACTGACCCCACCTTCACTATAAATGTACACGCAGCATCTGCAACGAAACAACAATGTTGTAAGTGACGATGTTTCCTTGAGTATGTACCATCAGTAGGCGAAAGATGAATCGTCAATTCGCGCCCTCAAATAGAAGATGAAACCCATCAAAAGCAGCAAATAATCGACGATTCAGGAGGCTAGCTATAATGGAAATATACTTCTATTGCCACTTTACCCTTTTTCTGTTTTCAAGACAAAGGCAGCAACTTTGAGGACGTCTTCAAAATGAAAGGCGCTCAAAAATTCTCGAGACGTGGTAAGAATACGGACTTAAAGACAGCGATTACGATAAAGAGGGAGCGCATCGGGGAAGCATATGCACCACACGAATCAGTTACTTGGCTGCCAGGAAGCGAGGTGTGGCGCTTTCACGACGAAAGGTGCGCTGGTTGCTGAGCAGGACTTCGAAAGCACTCCGCCCCAAAAGCGATCCGCCCACTAGTTTAGTTGGTGATTTGGACGAGCTGCGTTGCCAGCAGCGGCACAACTGAAGCATCTCGATC